CCAAGAGTCAGAAGTTTCCAGTTTTCTTTTACCTACAGAGTCAGATTGCAGAGAAAGTGGGGCACAGGCAAAAGCGTGCCTTGATCATGTGACACTGGGTGGCAGATGCCTGAGACTCTGGCAGGTGGATAACTGGTCGCCACTGTCTCTAATCTTAACACTGATGCACCCAGAGTAGCCTGTAAGTGTCACCGTACCAGGGCAGGCCACTGTCCCCCTCTTCTGCTGTTTTCATATCAGTTCTGAAACCCGAGAAATTCCCACTCCTAAGTATACACTCACTTAGAGGAGCTGTGTTCTTTTGCAAATCCCTCAGCACTGTGTTCTGTGGTAAACACCTATTAAGTGGTTTCTACATTTGGTCCTTAAGCAATTTGAGTCAAAATACTTTGGTAATAACTCATCCTCAGAATCACTGGCCATGACCCAGCTGGGGAACACCATATATCTGGGAGCAGAGACAAAAACCTTGTCATCTTTCAAGAAGGAACAGACTTTGTGGCTTTTGCTGCTGGGGGTTTACATGAGCTAAGGGATAGTCATAAAATTAAAACAAACAAACAAAACAGAGAAAAACTAGTGATCTCTTTAGCCAACTGTCTTGGGATTCTATGGTGATTAATCTAAAAAGCCAAAGTCCCCACAGGAAAGCAGAAGTGACCCAGATACATGATTTGAGATTCATCCCCTTAGATCTATGATTTGGGTAGTGATCCATAAAGGAAGTTCCTGAGCTTATTGCTGATTGAAATGCTTCCTGGGAGAGCATTGTTAGACGGTGTGGTCATTAGAAAGGGACACGTGGGCTGGTGAGATGACTCAGCGGGGAAAGGTGATTGGGGCTCAGCCTGACGACTGGAGTTCGATCCCTGGGTTCCACGTGGTAAAAGAAGAGAAACTTACTCCTTCAAGTTTTCTCCTTACCTCTTCTTGTTCGATGTGGCACACCCACAGCCATACACTCCCCCCACTGAATAAAAAACAGTTAAATATTTTACCAAAAGATAGGAGATGGGCAGGGTCTGGGGATATAAATACTTTGGACCATACTCACCACAGAGTCTGTAAAGCTCAATTGAAAGTACTCATCCATGCCCTGGAAGACACATGCATTCTTTCTTTTGTGGCTCCAGATACCAAAGTATAACCCTTTACTGCTGCCTAAATGGTGCTAGTATTGTAAAGTATTGACACCTTTCCCGGAGGACCTGGATAATAGGTGACAAGATAGCCCACTCCTTCTAATGTGCATGAATAAAAATGGGCACAGTCCCCTCAGGCAAACACATAAGCTATGTAAGATATCTAAAATTAGATGCTACTGCAGCGATGTCCTTCTTAAACATGGCTGGTGTGCATGTTCTAACATTAATCATGTCTTGCCTCACTCTGGGGAACCGCTGTCCTTTGCACACCGCACTCAGTCCAATTAGCTGAAGGGTCTCCTCTCCATCAAAGTCACCGAGATTTTTAGAGGTAGCTTCACCCTCTCTCTTCCTCTCTGCATTGGGAACACCAACTGGGAGGGGAGTGGCCTTGGAGCATCTGTGCACAGACAAAGCATTTCACGTGGTTACATGACAATTTCCCCTGTGTATAAATCAGAAAACTGTAATAAACTTCGTCTGATGCTCCAGTATCTAAAAGTGGCGTTGTATTTCTAGGTCCTGCTCAGCATGAAGGTAAAAGAAACACAGTGTTCTGAGCAAGTCTGGGCCCTACGACAGCCCACAGTGGTCACAGCAACCAGCCCACTTCTTACACTGCTTAAATGCTCCCTCCCTTCCTCCCTTGCCCACTGCTCTCTCTTCTTCCCTCCCTCTCCCACTTCCCCTCCTCCCTCTCTTCCTTCCCTTCCTTTTTTCTTTTTCAAAGCTGTTGAACTAGTGAAGACTTGAGGATTTTTAAACATGAAGTTGTTCCCACTATTTGCATCTTTGAGTTGATCCTCCCGCTCGTAAGCCTCTAAAGAGAATATTATTAGGTGTTAGGTTAGGTTATATTTGGTGTTTGTACATGACCAACATACTGTTTTATTTTGTTGTTGTTGTTTTTTTTTGTTTTGGTTTTTTGTTGGTTTGTTTGTTTTGTTTTGTTTATTTCAAGACAGAGTTTCTCTGTGGAGTCCTGGAACTCGTTAGTTCAGGCTGGCCTCAAATTCAGAGATTCCCCATGCCTCTGCCTCCTGAGTGCCGGGATTAAAGAGGTATGCCACCATGCTTGGAGACATGTGGTATTTATGCTAAAAACATTTCTTCTTCGATATACCACGATCTCTGAAGTTTCTTTTTTACCCAGTGTGATGGTCCTATTGCTTGTATGTCTCTGTTCTTTCAAAGTTATTTATATTTTTATTTATGCCTATGTGGGTGCTTGCATGAATTTATGTGCACCACATTTCTACAGGTGAGGCCAGAGGACATCGGGTCTCCTGGAGTTGGACTTACAGGTGTTATTGAGCCACCTGATGTGGGTGCGAGGAGCCAAATCCAGCTCCTCTGCTAAGATAGTGTACTCTTAGCTGCTGAGCCGTCTCTTCAGTTCTCTTGGTTCTGTTTTTGACACAATGCAATCTTATTCCTATTTCTACTTAAACTTCTCAGCAGTCTCTTACAGTGTCCAATAATCGGACACTCTTGTGTGCAAACACAGGGCCAGGTTTGGATTCCATGACCCAGTTTACTCTCCTCAACCTTGGTCTTTGTGCCGTGCTTTTCCGTAACTAGCTGGGTCATGCTTCACTTGGAAGAAAGACCAGGCCCTGACCTATAGTAGGCGTTTATAAAATATGTGTGGAATTTAAGAACCTATGGACACCTATATACCAAGTATAGGATGTCTAACAAGCATGGCCTGCCTCCTTAGCACCAGAGTTGTTGTGGCCTCAAGGAATTGCTGCAGTCTGTTAAGGAGACCTTGCTATGACTACGCATGTGTGGTGGTGGTTTGCCCATGTGCATTGTTGGTCTTGTTAAGGAGAGACGAACCAACTTAGCCACAGTAACTTAGTAAAGTTACGACAACTTTCCTATAACAGAGGCCTCCATTGCATAATGCGCAGAAGTGCAAACTTCCCCTTCTGCAATTCCCAGACAGGCTCACAATGTTGACATTCAATTTCCCCCACCAGCTAAGGTATTCAAGATACTCAGTGAGTGATTGCTGATCGATGAGCCAGTGCATAGAGTGAGTGGAAAGGGTGGAGTGGAGCTTGAGAAGACAGTTGGGAGGAGGAGAGTGAATTGAGTTGGAATGTTGCTGAGGTGTGAGTCTTAGCTTCTCTCAGCTTCTGTGTCCTCCTCTATAAAATGGAAATAGTCACACTAACGCATACCATCAGCCTATACTGACAGTCAAGGGAGCACAGTAAAATACGGTACTTACTACACCCCACAGACTCCCTCTTCTACACTTGATCTTAGCCAAAGGGCCGAGAAGCGATAGATACCCTCTTCTTAACGCCTGGTGAGGATTTTGCTACGAGCCTATGGTTCTTTTTAGCATTTGCTTTTAGAGAGTTGGAGTTTAATTTTCAGCCACTTCTGGCAAAACGAGACAGGTTTTAGTCATTCGTTAACTGCTGACGTTCCTCCCTGACTGCATCCTCTTGCTGCATCTGTGTTTACTTTCTTTTGGCTTGAAGATGCCTCTGTAACTTGGTTCATAGGAGTTTTGGAAATCCAGTTGTAAGAGGAGAAGGATGGAGAAGGAGAGGGAACAGAGAGAAGGTGGCAGTCAGATCACTAGTACGTGTGTCTTCAGAATTTCTGTGCTCTGTGAATGAGAGCGTGTTTGTTCGTACAACTAGCCCTCAGCACATCCTGTATCCCCCAGAGAACCCATCACACCACTATCTTGTTAGATATAGGCCAATGATAATAAAATAAAATTTTAATCAATAACAAAAAGGCCTTTTAGACGAGTTACAATACACCTATGTGGATACTTTTCAATCATGTCTCTAGTTCCCATAGATGCCTGTGGTGACAGGGAGCTAAAATCATGTTGGGTGGGAAATAGTCTAAGCTTCTCAAGCTGGCTACTTTTATTTGCTTACTCGTGTGGCCTGGGGTATTTGTTTACTTTCATTTCCATGCAAGAATTTTATTAACAAAAGATTAGGAAACAAAAGTTTGAAGCCATTGTCATTTCACGTGGCCAGAGAGTCTCACATTGGTAGACACCCAACACTCACATCGGCAGACATGTGCCACTCATTGGCAGACATGTGCCACTCATTGGCAGGTAAGAACAGATGCAGATTCCAAGAGCAAGTGTGATGCAGTTTGACCCATAGGGTTTATTGTTATAACATTTTTTTTTGGCGTGGATGTCAGTCATCACTGAAAACAAATGCAGCACCATAGAATGATGTGGAAACATAAAAAAAAAAATGGTTAAAGTATCCTTGCCATAAGTGGAAAACATTTTAAAATAGATAAGTTTATTACAATGGTCAAAATAAAATTATAGTTAGACACGTGCCATCTGCTGTCTTCCTGCTCCATTTACAACCTCCCCACTAGGAAATCCAGCCGATGGAGCCCCCATCCTTGTTTGTAGCAAGGAGCCAGGGGGCATCCATTTTCTGTTTCATTCACTTTCTGACCACGAGGGGGCAGCAGTGATGCACAGGGATAGCAGGTTGCTCAGCAAACTTTTCTGAGAAAACATTTAAAATGTGTTTCAGATTTTCATATATGAATTTTTAGAAGGTCACCTCCTTCCTTCATCCTTGACTATGTATGGTCAAACTTATACTACTGCCTTGGTCAAGCATTAATTTTAAAGATAATCATGATGCCTCGTGGTGCAGAGAGGGCAGAAATGGCAGATAGCTGTCTGTGATGACCCCACATGGGAGGCTGGGGCGTTTCAAAAGATGGTGACAAGTCATGGAGGGTGAGGACGAACATGGCTTCCTCTAATAGACAGGCTTTGTTCTGAGCTTACAGGAATTCAGATGCACAGTGCTCACTCTGATGTCCTCCTCCTCTCAGGTCTGTCACCTAAAGTAGTGAAAATGGCCAGAGGATCCGTGTCTGATGAAGAAATGATGGAGCTCAGAGAGGCTTTTGCCAAAGTCGGTAAGTGGACCTGACACCCCCTTACGGTGTTTATTTACCACTGAGTTGCTTTGTGAACTGGTTACGACAGGGGTTCTCAACCTGTGAGTCTTTCATGGGGTCACCTAAGATATCTAGAAATCATAGGTGTTTCCATTACAATTCGTAACAGTGGCAAAATTACACTTATGAAGTCTCAATGAAAATAATTTTATGGCTGAGGGGCCACTGTATCAAAGGGTCGCAGCGTTAGGACGATTGTGAACCTGGGAGAGCTGGTCTCTGAAAGGTGTGCCTGAGAAAACACTTCTTTCCTAGTTAAACCAGAGAACCTGGACTCTTACCTGCAGCCTTTTCCTGTAGGCATTCTACATCCTGCCTGCCTTCGTTTGATTTCCTTTACATTATACTCGTTATTGGTAAGCTCCTTGTGGTTTACTTTTAACTTTGTAAAGATTCCTAAGGATGGCAGAAGCTGGTGGTGTCAGTCAGGAAAGTGTTGCCGCTCAAGCACGAGGACCTGAGTTTGATCCTCAGCACCCACATAAATGCTCAGCCTGGTGGCACGCACTTGTAATCCTAGCCCTGGGCAGCAGAGACAGGCGGATCCCTGGGGCTCGCTGGCACTTGGTCTAGCCAGCTGGTGGGCTTCAGCTTCCGTGTGAGAACCTTGTGTTGGAAAACAGATGGCTGCTAAGGAACAACACCCAAAGTTGTCCTCTGACTTCTGCATGTGCATATGCTCTCACATGCAGGTACACACAACACACACACAAGCATACACACATGCATGAACATACACATACACACACACACACACACGTGTGGACACACACACACATGCAGGAAGATGCATTTGCAAAAGGGTATGCATGTATACATACACGCCTGCACGCGTTCCTAAATATCCTGTTAATATCCACCTTAATTTCAAGATCTTAATTGAAATTAGAGTCTTTTAGTGTGGGTGTTGGAAGTGATCTGACTGTCTGGATCCAAGAGCAATAGACCTCCTGGCAGGTTTTTGCCTATATCTGGGTCAGGCCAACACCCACGACAGGTCGTCTCCCTCCAGCCCCACCTACCATCTAGGATACGTTTGCCTTTCTAAAGACAGAGCCGGAGTTACCGCAAAGCTTCACTCTATCCTCGTGTTACAGATACCGATGGCAACGGGTACATCAGCTGCAATGAGCTGAATGACTTGTTCAAGGCTGCCTGCCTGCCTCTGCCTGGGTACCGAGTGAGAGAAATCACAGAAAACCTGATGGCCACAGGTGATCTGGACCAAGATGGGAAGATCAGCTTTGAAGAGTTTATCAAGGTGAGCATGGTACTGAATTCAAGATGCTGCATTTGAAACTTAAACTCGGTGTCAACAAATATCCAGAGGGAGATGATCCCATCTCTTACTGCTTCATTGTTACAGTTCTTACCTTTGTGCTTCTCTTACTACAGCTTGGGTTTCTAAAAATGCCTAATCTAGCTGGGCATGTGTCAAGGTTAGAGTTTTGTTGCTGTAAAAAGACACCATGACCACAGCAACTCTTATAAAGGAAAGCATTTCATTGTGGCTGGCTTACAGTTTCAGAGGGTTAGTTCATTATCATCTTGGTGGGAAGCATGGCAGCGTGAGGGCTGACATGGTGCTGGAGAAGGAGCTGAGAGTTCTACATCCTGATCTAAAGGCAGCAAAAGGAGACTGTGTCCCACACTAGGCATAGCTTGAGCATAGGAGATCCCAAAGCCCACCCCCACAGTGACACACTTTCTCCAACAAGGCCACACCTATGCCAAGGTCACACATCCTAATAGTGCCACTCCCTATGGGTCAAGCATTCAAACACATGAATCTATGGGCACCATACATATCCAAACCACTACAGTGTGTTAGTGCAACCTCATAATCCCTGCATCTGGGAACCTAAGGCAAGAGGATTTTTTTTTTTTTTTAGTTTAATGCCAGCCTGGGTTACACAGTAAGTGCTAGGCCATCCTAAACTGTGTAACAAGACTTGGTCAAAAGAAAAAAAAATTAAAACCAAATGAACCAAACATATTATGTTTTTAACAGGTCTTCCATGGCTTAAAAAGCACTGAGGTTGCCAAAACCTTCCGAAAAGCTATCAACAAGAAGGAAGGGATCTGTGCGATTGGCGGCACCTCTGAGCAGTCCAGCGTTGGTACCCAACATTCCTATTCAGGTAAGCTGTGCTGATGGGTAGGGGGGAGAGGAAGAGAGTGTGAGAGATGAGAGAGTTGTGGATTGGGGGAGAATGAGGAGGGAGGACCCAGTTGTCTGCGGTTACAGAGTCAATATTTGCTATGGAAACTAAAAGGGGTAGAAGCAAAGAAGCTAGCACACCCATGTGGATGGAGACCCATCTTCCCTCGTGGGAATGGACCAATTCCAGGCGCAGAAGCTGCCTGATCCCCGGAAAGCTTGGTGTACTCAGTGACCTCATTTGCATTTAAAATGTGCTTTAAAGTCTGCCAAATTTCCTTTAAAAACTTTATGGACAAAATTAGCCCTTTGAGTCTTCATCTTCAATATCCTGATTATTCTTAACGCCTGCTGAGTGGTCAAAAAATATTGATTGGGAAAAGAAGTTTTATATTTATTCCAAAGGCTGACACGAAGCAGCCTTAATGGAAGTTTCTAGGATCCCGAATGGGGTGGTTGTTTAACATGTCTTAAAGTTCAGATTCAGTGTCAAAGATAAGTTTGGATAAGCACTGTTTGCAGCTGATAAGACAAGGTTTAGCCTTTCCTATTAAAAATATATATGTTTATTAATTCTTCGGGAAATTTATATGAGGTATTTTAAACCTATGCACCCCTCCCCCAACTCCTCTCACAACCATCCTTTCCTCTCTCCCATCCCTTCTCACTCTCTTTTGAGATTTCTTCTTTTTTTCTTTGTCCCACTTTGTCTTGGGAATGGGTCGTGGGAATGTGTGTGGTTGCCACATCATTACAGAAAATGGACTCTCCTTCTCCTCAGGCAGTGGTGGGATTTCATGCACAGCTTCCACTTCTATGCTGGGATTTGTCTGGCTCCAGCTTGCTCAGGTCTTCGGTATGCTGTCACCATCACTGTATTCCTAGGTGCGACTGCCCAGTTGTGTCTGATAAACATTGTTTCCTTGATGTTGGCAAACAACTCTGGCTCTTAGAATCTTTCCCACCCCTCTTCTGAGAAGATCCTGAGCCTTGAGGGTAGGGGTGTGGCATGTGTGTCTCATTTATGGCTGAGCATTCCTTAGTCTCATGTTCTCTGCAAGTCGACCAGTTAGGGATCTCTGTGCTACTTGGCATCTACTGGAAGCTTCACCTATGAGGACTGAGAGGTGCTGTAATCTACAAGTGTAGCAATATGTCATAAGAATTGGTTCCATACTATGCCCATTAGCAGAGTAATGTGTTCTCTCCTAGGGCCTGTGGCCTAACCAGCCACAGGTTTTTGGCCCCTTTCACACTACCAGGTATGGGTTCTATCTCATGAAGTAGGTCTTAGACCCCATTTTTAAAAAGTGGTTGGTTACCCCCATAACATTTGTGCCATTATTGCACCCATGGGTTTAGTTTATCTGGCCAGTTGTAGCTTGCAGGGTTCTGATTGTACTCGATCTTATCTAGCCTTATATTTTTAAGTCTAGGAATTTTTCAAGCCTTGACTGTGTGAAAGTACATTATGAATCTGCAGGACAGCAATCCACTATGGAGCCTTTACCAAGCTTCGACAGTTCAGTTCCTCTGACAGTTCTCTGAACTGACAGTTCTCAGTTCCTCTGAGAGACACTTTTCAGTGACATACAATTTACAAAACATGATGCTGGGGAGAAGGCAGGGCTTCAGGTTTTGCTAAGACTTGTAAGAGCAACTCATGGCTTTGCTTGTAGGAAGGAAGAATCTATCATAGGTGATTTTACTTCATAGCTGTCTCATTCTAAATGTAAAAAAGCCCAACAATATCCCACTGATCATCCATGACAAACAGCATCTAAATCAGCGGGCAACGCAGGCAGGATCCTGGGTTTTATCCTATAAATACCAAACCACATTTATACTTACATTATACCCACAGAAATATTTATTATTTATCATCATCCTAATCTAACATGTACATCTTTTATTCTGTCCTAAATCTTTGATTGCATCTTTATAACTAGATTCTGTGCCTGCTTCTTAAAGGACCTCTGATTTTCAAAAGCAGTAAATACAAGATGATAAGATGCTTGCCTGAGTAGCCTTGCAGTGTCTCTCTTGGGAATGTGCGGTCCGTGTGGAGAATGTCTTTGTCTGGTTTTCATACTGTGTGTAAGTCACTTCAATTCTTTCTCTACAGAGGAGGAAAAGTATGCCTTCGTCAACTGGATAAACAAAGCCCTGGAGAACGACCCTGACTGCCGGCACGTCATCCCCATGAACCCGAACACCGATGATCTCTTCAATGCTGTAGGGGATGGCATAGTTCTTTGGTAAATGAAGGCTCCTTTTTGATTTCCAAAGATTCCCCCCTTTGGGGTATATCAGCAGCAGCTAAGCGTATTTGCAGTAGGCCACTTCTTTTGATGCTCACACGTGAGTGGAGTTGCCATAATGGAATCTACTTGATGGAATACAGGGGAGTAAACTAACCTCAGAAGCTAATTGTAGTGAAGTCCCTAAAACTGCTGTTGTTTCAGTGGAGAGAAGAGATGCAAAGTCAAGATGCGCTTTGTAAGCCGAGACACAGTGATGCAAGGCCACAGCAGTTAATCTAGGGAAGGAGGGAGGACGAGCCACTCTGCTCCTTCTGAGCATCACCTACCCTGATGGCAGATAGACTGGAGAAAGGAGACAGAGCTGTGGAAGTTCATTTTAAATATACATGAATGTGCACTTAGGGACACGCACATGCACAAGCACGCATGGCAACATTATGAGAATACATGTTCAAAAGTAACTGTAAAAGATAGTTGCTTAAAAAAAATGATCTCTCTGCCAGAAGCCAGGACCCTCGCCCTTACCCTTACCCCCTACCTTTCCCCACCTGCACAATGTCCTCTGAAGCTTGGCAGCTGCAAGATCCTGCTTAGCAACTGCAGATAGACTCAAAGCAGAGTACCATGTCTTCTTAAGAATAGCAGGGAGACCATAACTCAAGCAGTGTACCATATCTTCTGAAGAACTGCAGGTAGATCATAATTCAAGGCAGTGTACCATATAGACCATGACATGTTTCAAGGCACAGGCCAAGAAGATTTTGTACTTTTCCACCACCTGGACCCTCTTACCCCCTCCCCTTGTAAAACATGCTATAAAAAAGCATTTCATGTTCAAAAAAAAAAAAAAAGAAATTAAAAAAAAAAGAAATCAAAAAAAGAAAAAAAGAAAAAAAAAAAGATCTCTCACTCAAAGGAAATAGCTACTCACATTTTCCAGTTTTCTTTTTTAATTTGCTTTCTGGGGGATGGTGAGATTAGTCAGTGGGTCAAAGCACCTTAAACCAAGCCTGATGACCTGAATTCAACCCCAGGGGGAGAGAACTGACCCTTGCAAGTTGTCCTCTGACTTCCACACATGCACAGTGACACATACTACTCTCACACACACACATACATAAGTAAAATTGTTTAAAATGTTTTGGTTTTGTTCCTTCTGGACTTTTTTGCCCTGGTGTGTCAAACTGAGAGCCTCCCACGTGCTGGGCAGGGACCCATAAGCCACAGTTCCAGCCTCCCTTTGCTCCTTTACAATGAGATAGGTTCTCAGTAAGGTGGATACATTAGCCTTGGGATCCTCCTGCCTCAGCCTCTTGAGCAGCTAAGATTATGGGCCTGCACTACCAGGTCTGGCTTCCCTTTGGAGGTTTGTTTTATATGCCCCTTCTTTAAATAAAATGGAGGTTTCTGAGGGAATATTTTTAATGTCCTGTAGAGGATTAAACAAAGAATACCTTGGACAAAATCAGTTTTTCATAAACAACAATTGCTTGCTCTAGATGTCTGATCACCATACTGGATACATAAGTGAGGAAAACTCATCGAACATTGATCAGGTCACTGCAGAATGTTAGGATGAGCCATTATATGTGTAGTTAAAGGTATTGATCAGGTGTCAAATAGAAATGTAGACATTATATAAACCCAGATAGCAATAGTGTCTTGCATAGTGGGGACAAAGTATAAGGAAAATCATGGGGGATCTTCTTTAATCACCCACTGAGAATTCAAGAAAGTTTTAAGGGAGCGGTTCTCAACCTGTGGGTCATGACCTTTTGGGGGTCCCATATCATATATTTACATTATGATCCATGATCATAGCAAAATTACAGTTATGAAGTAGCAATGAAATAATTTTATGGTTGGGGTCAGCACAACTTGAGGAACCGTATTTAAGGGTCAGCAGCATTAGGAGGGTTGAGAACCACTCTTCTAAGGGAACCAGGACATTTTTACAGCTTAGGTGAATGAAGCAAAGGGGAACCTCCCTTCTTACCTCAGTGCATCATGATAGCTTCATGAACACTGTCAGTGAATCTAACCGCAGAGGCACGACTCTCATACACCGTGTATAAAGAATATGTTGCTGGCATGTTCAGTCAGAATACTCCACGAATTTAAATCCAATCCCATGGGGTTCCATTACTCAGAGGGCTACTTTCTTTAATTTGATTGCTTCTCTTTCAGTAAAATGATCAACCTGTCCGTGCCAGACACAATCGATGAAAGAACAATCAACAAGAAGAAGCTCACACCGTTCACCATTCAGGTGGGTCTCCCCACTGCTCCCCAAGGGTGGTACTGGCCTGGTGTGAATGAGCACCATCATGGCTGAGTCGGCCTCTGCAAGAGCTCACACTTCATTCCACACACCAAAGCCTTGGCCAGTGGTGTCTTACAACCATGGGGTAGGACACATCCGTCTGTGTCTTCTGTTTGATTGGTGCAGCAGTCAAGGAAGGAGACTGGCGTGTGTTAGTAGCTGGGTTTGTTTCAGCCACTTAAGAATCGAATTCATATGGGCTGAAATTGTAACGCAAGTTTTTCTTACCGGTTTATTCTTGAGCTGAAAAGAGAAGCCTTCCTAGGCAAGGAGAAAGATGGAAAATGAGAAATGCTCTGCAGGCCTCCGTGGCACTGCTGACACAGCCCAGAGTGGATTAAGTGCAACCTGCTTCTATCGCTCCACTTGCTGATCAACCAAAATAGTCAGTAGTGGGAAATAAAAAGCTGTGTTTCTAGCTTATGTTCCAATATTTTAACATTATTGTAACTCTCTAGCTTAGGTACCATGTCTAATACCTTAAATCATGAATAATACATCATCTCTTGTTTGGACATAAGCGACCTGTGTACTTTTAAAACAGAAGTGTAACCAAGCTGGGAACAGTAGCTGAACATATGGGGATGCACTTAGCGGTATATTTACTCATAAACGCGGCTATAATAAAAGCAATATTTTTATTCGCCAGCTTTAACGGTCAAGAAGGACTTTCTGGTGGACTTTGTTTTGTTCTTAACTTATCATGCAAACAAAAAAGCTTGTCGACTTCTCTGACACTGACCTCTTCCTTCATGGGACCAAAAATAGGACACAGAGACTGGGCACTCCCATTGTTCCAGCTGTGTGTGAGTTACAGTAGCTGTATGGACGGTCTAGCATCCTGGAGTCTCAGGCCTGTGTGCCTACGCAGGCTTTCTAGTTATCATCTGGAGTCTCAGAAACTCATTCTGTTAAAAACCCAGCCATCTTTTCTGGGAACTTGATTTATATCATTTTTTTTCTCTTTCCATGACATTAAATTTGCAAATCAAAAGGCTATTCTGTTGTTCTTTTTGATGACCCTAATTTACATCAACAATTGTCTTCTTAGCCATAGGCCGTGACAGGACTTCCTCCAGCAAATGGAGACTCTGACTGTATAGAATTCATCAGAGTGCAAAAATAGAAGAACATAAGATTCATTCATCTCATGCCAGAATGGGTCTCCACGCTGGGCACTGGTTTGATTGAGTAGGTCACTGCATAAGCTCAGTATGTGGGTTATGAGGTCTTTTCCCATTATTATTTTTTCTGAGTGTTAAGACTACCGAAGACCTTGCCTCTGGTCCATGACCATTCCAGGACTACATCACCACTGATGGCAATCGGTAATCACTTGGTATTGGCAAAGTGAAAGAACTAAGCTTGCATACTTTTTCTCCCTCAGGAAAACTTGAACTTGGCTCTGAACTCTGCCTCTGCCATTGGGTGCCATGTGGTTAATATCGGGGCTGAGGACCTGAAGGAGGGGAAGCCTTACCTGGTCCTGGGACTTCTTTGGCAAGTCATCAAGATTGGGTTGTTTGCTGACATTGAACTCAGCAGAAATGAAGGTAAGAGTAAGTGTCAGGTGCTGTGAATAGCACAGCTCTCTAACACTGAGTGTTGATGGCTGGAGGAAAACATTAGGCGTTTTCCAGCTGAGAAAACCACTCCGTTATATTGAGTCCGTGGTATTGAAGTAGCAGACCCTTTCCGTGAAACCAGACTTTTAAAAAGACAACGCAAAGGCTTTTAGAGACCACAGACTAGCAGTAATGCTTTAGAATATATAGCTCCATGTGCTGGAACCTCAACCCAGCAGCTGCTTCCTGGCTCACCTTGCCTACAGAGGCTTCACAGCAAGCAAGACGAGTTTTCATGCATATTATGTGAGACGAATCACATTCAAATACGTTAACAAATGCACCACATTGGGAGAGATTGGTTTATATCTTATCCAGACAATCAACAAAGCTGTAGGTTGCCTCTATAGAGGGTGGGAGAGTCTAGAGACCTAGGGTTGTGGTCAATCCTATTGTAGCTCATGCTGATAGTTTGCCAAAAAGCGGGTTTTTAGGTATGCTTACCACCCAAAGAAAAGAGAACAGAGCAGCTGTAAGTTGATGGTACATTAACTTGCTTGATTACTCATGTCACTGTACCTATTGTGATCAGTACATAAAAATACCATATTGTACACCTTAAGTATATACAATACATTTAGAAAAAAATATTAGAAAATCACATGTATAACTCGGAAATTCTGAACAGAAGCCAGGCCTGCTGGAATCAACCTCCAGTCTCAGCTCCTTGGGAGGCTGAGTGAGCTCAAGGCCAACCTGGGCTACTAACCGAGACCCTGACTATATATATGTGCAAGGCTATAGGTTCAACTCCCTAGTGCTGTGGTAAAAAAAAAAAAACAGGGAAAATTTCTAAAGAATGTATATAAGCAATGATAATCCAATTGAGTAGACAGGAATGTACCTTAATAAGGGTCACACAAGTCAAATATTACCTTCAGATATAAACCCCAGCATTCTGAACTCTATAGCTAAATCATAATTATATTTATAATTAAATAAATTATATATATTTAAAATTAATTTTTAAACTTATTTTCTGCATATCAGTGTTTTGTAGATGTATGTACTAAATGCATGCCTTGTGCCTCTGGAGACCAGAAGACAGTGTTTGGTCCCCTGAGACTGGAGTTATAGATGGTTTGAGTCATCATGTGGGTGCTAGGATTTCAGCCCAGATCCTCTGGAAGAGCAGCCAGGTTCTTAACTGCTGAGCCATCTCTTCAGCTCTAGCTCTCCATATTTTTAAAAATCCATGTGTTTGAGCTACAATAAACAGTGAAAATGTTGACATATCACTTTAAAACCGAAATACTAGCCATTGTATTTAAAAAGCAAAAACCAAAAAAAATAGCAAATAGGAATCTTGAAACCCAAGAGGAAGAATATTGATTTGTGAAATCGAATCAACTGAGTTTAAACCCAACCAAGCACAAAATATTTATTCATCTGGGGAGACATAGAGGAATGTTGATTGCATTGTTGGGTTTCTATAATTATACAGGTAAGCATTTGGATTATAAAACACCAGTGGGAATAGAAAAGAGAACATTATCGTGATTGCAAAATTGATCTCTCAAAAGCAGATGTGTCATTGCGATATCAACTGTGGTCCAATAGTCCCGACAGAGTACTTCCAGCAAGTCGCCATGGTTACCTTTATGCTGAAACTCATGTTCTTAGGCAAACGCTTGAGATTCCTTGGTGCCTTGTTTTTTTCTAATTAAAAAAAAAATGGGAATAATTAAGTTAGCTCATAATAATGTACCACTTTTAGGAAGTATTGGTGAATTGCTTCTTTTATAGGAGGGACTTTAATACATTGCATCCAAAGGGACAGTGCGGCTCTTTGGTCTTCTAACAAGGCTCCATGTCCGGGAAGACACGTGTTCCACAACAGCCTTATATTTATTTTGGATCAACTGTTTTTTTATCTCGTCAGCTCTGATTGCTCTTTTGAGAGAAGGAGAGAGCCTAGAGGATTTGATGAAGTTGTCTCCTGAGGAACTCCTGCTCCGGTGGGCTAACTACCACCTAGAAAACGCAGGCTGCACCAAAATCACCAACTTCAGCACTGACATCAAGGTAGGAGAACACCATTGAACATGCCTGCCGCAGTGGAGGGGATTCGTGGAGTTAGTGGGGAAAGCACAGATGCTAGGCCTTGTGTCTTAGCATCCTAGGCTGGCTGTGGTCCTGTTGGAGCCACTTGCTGCCTCCCAAGGGTGAATGTGCAGCTCTAGGTCTGAATCACATGCACATCCACCCAGAGCCCTAATGAAGCTTCAGAGGGAGATGAGTCTTGCTTTGAGTTTCAGTGATGGGAAGTTGATCATCAAGAGAGCATGATGGTGCAAGGAAAATACTACTTTTAAAGTACAGAGGGTATAGGTAGAGTCTAGAGAGATGATTCTCAGTGGTTAACAGCTTGCTGTGCAATTATGGGAACCAGAGTTCAGATCCTAGTGCTCATATAGTAAGCCTGGCATCTCATAGACCTTTATAACTCCAGCTACAAAAGATCCAGTGCCCTCTTTTGGCCTCCATGTATGTACAACTGCACATACATGTGCATACATCATGCAGATGCATACACATGCACATGTATATACATGCATGCAAATAAATCTTAAGACAATAAAGTGTATGTAAGATTTTTGTGTCTCTGTTTTTATAAATGGTGCCATCTTAGAGGGTCTCCTTTTAAAATGTTAAACAAAGATGTCTTTCTGATTACTAATAATAGTAAGTAAGCACAATGCTTGTTACATGTCAGATATCGGCCTAAGCACTTTTATAAGTGTATGATTGACTCACTGAATCCTTACCCCAGGTTCTAAGGTAAGAATTTCATAAGTAAGAAAGCAAATAGGAAATCCATAAAAGAATAGCCAGTAATGCAGACATGTGACCTTCAAATTTATGAAAAAAATCTGTATTAAGGTGATAGGAAACAGCTGTAACCAATGACAGATGGACCAGACTGAAACGCAGCTAAGGAGTAGCTAAGATGAATGAAAGATCAGGCCCCATAGCAACAGGGTGATGTGCAGGGATACCAGCATTGGGAAAGACTTCAGTGTCTACTCTCTGAAACACAAAGGAAACTGTTCCCAAAGACAAAGAGCCAGAGGAAAGGTCACATGACCTGTCATGAGTCTACCAGGCCTATAACTGAGTAGCAGCAGGCTGCTGCACCGTGTAAACTGATCTGGTGGCATTTGGAACTCTGCGTATGTCAGGGACAGGACCAATCTGGATAAAGTATGTATCTGAGAAAAGCTCTCCCCACCTCCCATTCCTGGGGAGCTCCCCTAAGCATACTTCCACTGGTTATCAACAGTCTTTCGACAGCACCAGCCAAAATGGGGCTTAGAGGAGCCAGCCAGACCGCGTTTCCATGTGTGTTCAATAGTTCTGCTCCGTCATGGATGGAAAACTATATACCCAAAATTGTGATCTCAGTCATAAATGGGTCTGATTTGCTCTCACTAAAGGGCACATCCTTAAAGTAATTAACCATTTTAGACTTGGGAAGGTCAGTAGGGCACTTACACAGTCCATGTGCCCTGTGTGTACATAGAGGAAGCTGCTCTAGCACATGTATCTGAGGTGTATACGCAGGTTAAAAATAGCTCATCTCCTGAGCTTTAAGTATTTAAACTAAATTAAAAGGCTTTTAAACTATCTCAGCAAATGAAGTGAAATTCTGTATGCTTCCATTGACTGCGGATAAATTTGTATTTTTTAAGATCATGACTGTGGAAATTCTATTTGTCAGTAAGCATATTAAAGGATCCAATAAAACTTCAGAATTCAGGTCCACTTCAATTCATTATAACCCAGGCTAGCTGTGTTTTCTAGTTTCTAATATGAAGTGGTGAATATACCATGATGATATTTCTCCTTTTACTGAAAGACTATTTGTTGCCTGTAACCCCAATACTTGGGAGGCTGCATTCCAATACGTGGGAGAACATTAAGTCCAAGGCCAGCCTACCCATAGTGCATGATGAAACCCTGTCACAAAAAGAGGGGCCAGGGATCAAGATGGCTCAGTGGATGTACCCTCGCTGTTAAGCCTAACGGCCTGAGTACAATCCCCAGGCCCCATGTGATGGAGGAGAGAACAGACTCCTTCCTGACAGTGGTCTTCTGCTTCTTCCACATAGACACATAAATAGGTTGTAATTTGAAAAAAAAATGTCTACTTGCTAATGTCTCGATTGTCTGTCTTTGAAATCTTTTCTTCTGCTGACTGTCCATTTAAATGTATTTTTAAACTGTGCTTCCTCTCTCTGTCGCTTTTTTTTTTTAATTAAACCTTAGCTGGCTGACTTCTACAGCAGTGTAAAGGTATAGACACATTTTCCTGTATACAATTTAGCTTGTGTAAATAAGTTGTTCCTCTCCCCACCCTGAGGACAACAAAATCTTTGTGTTGCCTTTTATGTTGGTCCTGTAACTTTTTCAATTGTTAGACTCCTTTGAGGAGTCCCCAAATACAGTATGCAACTAGATGGAGGGGACTGTCTAGTTGAGTGAATGTTTCTAGGTCAGTTAATTGCTGTATTCCTGAAGGACAGGAATAAGAAATAAGATGTTTGCTTTTAGGAAATGATTGTCATGTTAAGTGTGCAACCAGCCACGCGCTGTTTTGATCTTGTGATTTCTTAACTTTTTTTCAGGACTCAAAAGCTTACTACCACCTGCTCGAGCAGGTGGCTCCAAAAGGAGATGAAGAAGGCATCCCAGCTGTTGTGATTGACATGTCAGGACTGAGGGTAAGGCTGCGCCTGTTCTCTAAAGAGAACACCATGCTTTCTTGCTGTTGACTGTTCCTTTGTGCCACCTTGTCCCCTGTTCTGCTTAAGCGTCTATTAAACTATTAGCAATTTTTGATACTAATTATAGAAAACTAAATCTGGACATAAAACATCAGGATAAGAAATGGATACTAATGAAGTGCCGTGCAGCACACAGCACGTCTTTGTATGCCCGTCATTTCAAAGGCTCAACAACACCAACCCGGGTCTAAGGATTAGAACATCAGTTCTTTTTTATTTGGGATCTTTTATTTTTCAATTGATGCACAATAACCGCTAATTTTTATATATATAAATTTATACCTCTGTGATAGAACACTGTGATCAAAAGCAAGTTGGGGGAAGAAAGGATTTATTTGGCTTACCTTGGCTTACCGTTTCCAGTCTTAGTCATCCTAGAGGAAGCAAGCAGAAGGGCAGCAGCTGAAGCAGAAGGCATGGAGGAGTACTGCTCACTGGCTTGCTCGGCCTGCTTTCCTGTGCCAGCCATCAGAACCATCTACCTAGGGGTGACACTTTCCCAGCCGGATGGGCTCTCCCACATCAATCATCCTCTAGAAAATGCTCTACAGATTTGCCTACAGGCCAATCACATGGGAGACATTTTCTCAGTTGCGATTGCTCTTCTCACATGATGTTAGCTTATGTCAAGTTAACAAAGAACTAAAATTGACCTTGCGCCTTGGGTGGTGATTGAGTCACAAGAAAACTCATGAGATTTTGTTGTTACTGTTTGTTTCCGTTCGTCTGGTGTTTCACGGTGCTTGGGAGAAAACCTCCACCACAGACTCACTGCGCACGTCCCTCGGTTTTACCACCGCGTGTAACACCAATCATCTTGTTTTTTTTAACATGCCTCATTTAAAGTCATTGGGATTGAATCCAGTGAGTTAATATTGAAGTGAATCCGAAGGGGGGTTGCAGTAAAAGCAAATAAGCAATGCCGTTCATGAGACGAGCGTGTAGCTAGTACTGCAGCGGACTAAGGAATAGCTCTAAAGTCAGCCTTTTGCTTTGTGGAAGTCGGTGTTTCCATGGACTTTACATACACGGGAGCATCATCTAAGACATTTCAGTCTTGTTTTAGAGTCTGATTACGAACGACTTGGGAATTGTCCTAACTTATTTGAGCATGTGCTGCAGTCTTCAATCTGAAATTTGCCAAAACCAAGCTATTATGGTATATTTACCACTGGCAGTACGGAGGTTGATAATTACTTTGGATTTTAACCAACCTAATGTGGGAAAAGTAATTGTATAAATCAGATGTTCTTAATTTACGACTGCAAATGTCTGCTATGAATTGGAAATAGGACTATAAATTATTCCTTTTTATTAAACTTTCTAATAGTGCAAATTCTCATAAAGTCTGTGCAAAATAAACTATAAAGAAGCTTAACTACTGAAATAATTTAATCAGTGCTTATGATAAGATGCCAGATTTTCCTGCATTTCTTTTCAAAAGTGCAACTAGATGTTCATCTGAACTTGCTAACTGAGGAGGGGAGCCTGGTGTCAGTTATGGATCCTGTGACTCTGTGACTTGGGTGCATGTGGTAGGTGTGACAGTAAGCTGTGGTGAGGATCCGCCTGTGGTAGGCACTCACTGAGCACACTGATGAGATCTTCGTTCTCATGCTATGCTTGCTCGCTTGCACACGGAGCCTTGATCCAGCCTTTTGACATCCTTTTCATTGCAGGAGAAGGATGACATCCAGAGGGCAGAGTGCATGCTGCAGCAGGCGGAGAGGCTGGGCTGCCGGCAGTTTGTCACGGCCACCGATGTTGTCCGAGGGAACCCCAAGTTGAACCTGGCCTTCATTGCCAACCTCTTTAACAAATACCCTGCCTTACACAAACCAGAGAACCAGGACATTGACTGGGGGGCTCTCGAAGGTAACTATACTGTAGCTGCTTAAGATGCTCAGGAAAAACTGCTCAGAGCTCTGGTTCAATGGCAATTCAAAAATCAGCCCCGAAGCAAACACAAACCCATCACGTACACAAGCAGGCCATCAATTCTCCAATATACAACAAATAGAATGAATTAATCAAGTCAATTATAGCCAAGCAGCAATAATCAAATACAATTAGATCACATCCATTATACATAGGCATCATCTGTTATTAACTGTTGTAGGGAAGACATTGGATTTAATTATTGGATGAAATAAATTCTAAGCTCCAAAATCCTAATTTATATACGCAATGGACTGTGTTAATTCCTAGAGGCTAGAAATGGCCTCCGGTCGCCATAAGAGGTGAGAGCTAACTCATACTAGGTTGTGGTGGCTCAAGCTTCGCTTTTATTTTTGTGTCTTGTCCGTGTCATTAGGACACAGGAGAGCATTTTAAAGCAGAATCCTGACAGTCACATTTTACAAATGAAAGCCCTAATATCGGACACACGGCACGTAACCAGTCAGCTCAGCTTTGACTAGCTAATGATTCCAGGGATAGTTACTGATCCTTTTTAAAACATGAGCTGATCTCTACATCAATATAAAAATAAAGGAAAAATGACTATTGAATGGGTGTTATTAGCTCAAGAAAGTCCACGTTATTGTTCTCTGAAACCCTTTCAACAGTGCCTCAGTCTAGTTATTGACACAGTATCAGTCCACATCCAAGCCTGCTGCTTCGGATAAGTGATGGTTTAGTGGTTGTGTGCCCTGATCTTGAATCTGTGCATCAAGCGACTAGTCAGTCATCCGTTCCAGCTGCCACTCTGGCGCCACCGCTCGGTCTTTCCCAGTAAAGCATATAAAAGCCGAACTGAATCTTCCTCCTGCCTCCCCGTTCCTTCCCCATTTCCCGCCTCTTGTACACCCCATTAGTAAGTTAGTAACTCTCATGTCAATTCACCACTGCATTCTATTCTGTTTTGTTTTTATTTTGGTCACCCAAACTAATGGTCTTGGGTTCTACTAAGGTATTTTCTGCCCTTCACTCTTAATCTATTACGTAAACAAATAATACCAATAATTCTTCATTCGAAATGTCTTCTAGATTGTTTTTCCTTTCTGCCCTTCTGGACTCATGCTGCCTCATGCATCAATTGTCTTAGTAGATCTTAGGGACCTTCCCTCCCTTCATCAAACGGTTAAATTTACTTCCTTCTGTATGACCCCTTCTGCATGTTTAATATAATCGCATATCACCCTTCAGTAATTCTGCACACCACTGCCAGGCACACCTGGCATAGTTTTCATTGTTTCTCTGCCATGCTATTATAGCAGTCAAGCCCAAGAACCTGCAATGACTGTGTGTGTGTGTGGTAGCAGATTTACACAGAGATTCCCACTCCTGGCTGCAGCTTCTAGACAGTCTTAACTCTGCGGCTACACTGTGCAGATCCCTGACACATCGCTTTTCAGTATTCTGAGTGGAGAGTGTGCCTACTGCTCCCTCTGGGCTCATGTTTACATTCTTGCTACTCTTATGTCTTAGTGTCTTCCAAAATGCTCTAATCTCTCTTCATCCCTATTCAGCTTTTTGACCCCAGAAAGTGAAGTGCAGTTCCACACTTCCAAATGTGGGCTATGTGGCTCCCCCACCCCCGTCTTACCGATAACAGCAAACATACCTGCCTCCTCCCTCAGTGTATCCAGTTGGCTCTGTGGAGCCTCCTTTGTGCCTCCAAATCTTGTTAGTTGCTGTAGAAATGCTTGTAGAAATTAAATGGGGAAAACTAACAGATTATCAGCACACCTCTATAGTGTCTGTTCTACTCCACATCTTTCTTCTGAATTGCACCCACTGTAGACAAACTTAGATCATAAACAAGCCCTGTTCTAGGTCATGTCTTAACCAGTTTTCACTAACCTAGGTGAGACGAGGGAAGAGCGGACATTCAGGAACTGGATGAACTCCCTGGGAGTTAACCCTCGAGTCAATCATTTGTACAGGTAGGAAGAATTGGGAGCTCATCCTTCATGTGGAACATAGAGACACTGAAAGAGCATAGGATCCCACACACCATACCACTGTGGTGTGTGTTTCCTTCCTAAGTGTGTACTTTGGAGGGATTACAGAAGTACCACAGGACCGGCTCTGCTGAGGAACTCACTTCAGTGCCTCAGTTATCACTGTATTTAATATGAAAATTAAACCTCTGCAAAGTAGCAAACTTGGGGCATAGCAGAAGCTCATGACCTTCTCAGGAGCAGGCAAAACAGAAAGTGTTTTCAGTTAATGCCTCCTGTGCTGTGCTGCTTCTAAAGCCATATTTCTTTTCCTGGCTAAAGGCAGTTTTTGTCCCTGGAAGGAACATAGTCACCTGAGAGGGACAACCTCTCTCTGAATCACAATATCTACATTTTTAAAGATGGAATTACTCCTACCAAATTTCTAGGGTCCCTAGGAATGTTTCAGGAACTAAGAGCCTCACTTAATATAGTCTGTGAGCAAAATGTTGGCTCTCTGAGAATTCTGTGTGTTTGTTTTGTTCAGTGACTTATCGGATGCCCTGGTCATCTTCCAACTCTATGAAAAGATCAAAGTCCCTGTTGACTGGAACAGAGTAAACAAACCTCCATACCCCAAGCTGGGGGGCAATATGAAAAAGGTAAACAATGATTTTCCCGATGGGCCATGAGGCAGGTTGGTAGCATTGGCCTGCAGAAGCTCTTTGTGAGCGCACTATCAGGTGGCCAAGCTTTGTTGCGTGTTCAGCAGGTATTAACCGCAGCAGTTGGAGACCTTATGAATATTTCCATTACAGTGAACCTGTCATTGCAGTTGATTGCTTATTTATAATTCATGTTGGATGTCTCTACTCATTATCATGAAAATTTTCCAATTAAGGTAATTAGAGAAAGCAAAGCCACAGGGTCTCCTCCCACCCAGCAAGACCTTCATTCTAATTTTCTGAAGAACTGGAGCTTCATGCTCACAGCTTGGCTGGTATGGTTTGCCTGCTGTCAACACAGTGGGAACGTAGTTTTGTAACAATAGGGTCGGTACAGCCACTTCTCACCGCTCTTCATCTTTGTGGTTGTTTTTATAGTTATTTAGTGTGTGTGCCTGTGTGCATGTGTGCATGTGTGCATGTGTGCATGTGTGCATGTGTGGAGATGCATGCAAACATACACATATGCTACAGCATGCATGTGGAGATGAGAGATGACACCTTGCAGGAATCAGTTCTTTCCTACCATTTATATTCCAAGACTCGAACCCAGGTTATCCCTTTACCTGCTGAGCCATCTCACGCACCTTCTGTGGTCCTTAATGATCTACGAGTAGCCACATGACGATTTGCCTACATGCCTATCTGTTATGTGTACATAAGACAGAGAATATAAATTTTTTGCTGTCTATCTATGTCCAAAAGTCTAGCTATTTTAGAAATATCACAGACAGATCACTGAGGCTGGCTCACGATGTACTGCAAATGCTCATGAATGCACTCATGATAGTAAGTTTCTTCTAGTTTTAATTAATGTAACTCATTAGTGCGGAACCAGCTATTATTTGAGATTACACAGGTCTGATTTGTCTAATTTTGTATCTTTATTTTGATCATTCTCTGATATTTATCATAACCAAGGTGATGCCTAATTTGTTTTCCTTTTGCCTCACTCACAGCTGGAGAACTGTAATTATTCAGTGGATTTGGGGAAGAATCAAGCTAAATTTTCCCTAGTTGGCATCGCAGGGCAGGACCTCAATGAAGGAAACCGCACTCTCACGTTGGCCTTGGTTTGGCAGCTCATGAGAAGGTAACATGAAGCACAGGGATGAATGAGACTTCAGTGAATGGGTCGTTTATCTAGAAACATAATAGAAATTTTCAAGAAAAGTGATTTAATTTAGCAAAACCATAACTTAAGTTAGATTTAGTAACTAAAGAAGTGCCTTTAGGTTTTCTGCTACTTCTTTCTTTAATTTTTAGGTTTTGTTTGAGTTCTTATGAAAATCTATTGTTAGGTTCATTTGTATTTTAGATTATTAATTTGTCTGAATGAATCATACTTGTATCTTATTACAGAGTGATCTTCTATGTGCTGGCCTATTCTTTGTTCCTAACATTTTCTCCCTGGTGTTAATATAGTCACTACAACTTCTCCTGACTGGTGTATCTTTTTCTCATCCTCTTACCTTGAACTAATTTGTATCAACACAGTAAATTATTTTCATTTAGGTTTGAATCTCTACCTTAGATCTTTTTTTTTCTTCTATCTGGAATCTTTCTAATAGTACAGGTCTGTTGATAACAAATTGTTTCAGTTTCTATAAGCCAGAAAAGGCCTTAATTTCTTTTTTGTTATTGAAATATATTTTCTTGGAATGTAGAATTCTATTTTAATGTATTTTTCTTTTAGTATCTTCAAAATAATGTTCATTATCTTCTTACCTGCATGTTAACAGCAGAAAACCTGTTACCACCCTTGTCTTTTCTCCTCTGTGTGCAATATGCTTGCCCACCTCCCTGGGGTTCTTCTAAGATTTCTCCTTATCACTGGTTAAAAATAATTTTATTAAGTATGTTGTGTAAAATTATTTCTTATATTTGAGAGTCCTTGAATTATTGGGTGGTATAGCTTTTAACTTTGCATCAAACTTTTAGTGTTTAAGTATTTGTTCTAGATTTACCCCCACCACTGTTGGGAAGCCCTGAGTGCACATGAATTCACTTGAGGAGTGTGCACTAATTACCTTTAGTTTTTGTTTCATGTTGGAAGATACGGGCTGGTGTGTCTGTAAGTTAGTCGGTCTCTTTTTTCTCTGCCATGTTTCATTAACTCCATTTAGTGTATATACATTTGAATATATATTTATTTCTATATTATAGTATCTACATCCAGAAGTGTTGAATCTCTTTTCTTTTATTTCCAACCTCACCTTCCGCCTGCCTCCTTGATCATGTAGTTGCGGTGATTTCTTTTCTAGTCTATTTCTACTGATTCACCTTTATCTTCAATACAAGTGCTATGTTCTCACTCCTTTGCATGCTGCCTATTTTTCTAATCACCTGCCAAACATTGAAAGGCTTACCGTGCTCGGTACTCGGTATTTCTCCATTCCCTTGGCAATTTGTGATTTTGTTCTGGGATGGGGGTCAGGCTCAACCCAGTTTCAATCTTCTGAGGCTTGCCTGAAGCTTACTCCTCCAGAGCTCATTTGCTGCTTATTAGTGAGATGCTAACTGAGCATGTTCGGTGATGACCCATGTGTTATTAATTCTTTCCTTTCAACTGGTGGGAACCAAATGATTTCAAGCCCCATGTGAGCTTCAAGGGGTGTTCTAGCTGTTCTTTCCCCAGCCTCACATGCATACACTGGGTGATATTCAGCTGAAATTTAAAGGATCCCTCTGAAGATCCCCAGGGCTTTTCTTTCTTGGTTATATCGAAAATTCTGTACTGCAAATTCTAGGCTCCTTAATTTCCTTGAGTTAGAAACACCATCAGCTCAGTTTATGGGGTTTTCTCTCTGCGTGCAACTTGGTGACCTCTCTGTGATGGGCTGTCTTAGGGCTTCTTCATCTCCCTGGTTTCCTCACAGAGGCCACTATCCCATCCTTCCTTTTGTCCAAGTCTGAATGACATTGTGTGTTAGGTGATTATGTCTGGTCTCTCTTACCTCATCATATCTCATTAATAAAGAACTTTAAAGTTCTCTCTACAAAAGTTCTTTCTAGAGAATTTTAGATACATTTGGGAGCCAGACGAAAACTTGACTAATGAGTAGCTACCTCATGATATTAGTTAGATAACAAATAGGAAATATATATTAGATAAAAATAAACTGCCGGGCTGTGGTGGCGCACGCCTTTAATCCCAGCACTTGGGAGGCAGAGGCAGGCGGATTTCTGAGTTCGAGGCCAGCCTGGTCTACAAAGTGAGTTCCAGGACAGCCAGGACTACACAGAGAGACCCTGTCTCGAAAAACCAAAAAAAAAAAAAAAAAAAAAAAAAAAG